AGTTTAGGGCTGTTGTACATAGGGTTGCTATGAGTCCCACGTTTCTCAATGGCACATAACAACAACAACAACAACCATGTTGTAAGGCTTCACTACACATACTTTGGGCATGTGGCTATGTGGGGCTAATCCTTGGAGAAGGACATGATGCTGCAAAAGTGGGAGGGACAGTGAAGGAGAGGAAGACTCTCAACTAGGTAAACTGACATAGTGACTGCTGCAATGGGCTTTTGTGTGTCAGGAAGTGCGATGATGACACAATGTAAAACAGGGCTCAGATCTTTTGTTCAAGGAGTTGTTATGAGTCATATTCAACTTGATGCCACCTAACAACAACAACAACAGGAGCAGCAATGTTATGAATTTAAAAGTTATGTTGTTGTCTTTTAGTGTACAGTTCAAACTGACCCATAGCTGACTCTCTGAAGGGTTTTCAGAGGCAGTTAATTGCACAGGAGGCAATTGCTCGTCCTTCTCTCATAGAAGATACAGATAGTATTAAAACCAAGATTGATAAGATGAACTAATCATAATTATTTTAAATATAGTTATAAGTAAATTATTTTGAGTGTGTACTATGTTCCGGGCACTATTGAAGTACCTTGCCTGGATCGATTTATTTAATCTTCCCATCAGTGCTGAAATGAAGTCAAGAGCTGAGCCCAAGTTCCATAGCTTGGAATGAGAATTCCAATGAGATTGCCAACATTTTTAGGGAGCTGGAAAAGGAATCTGACTTGGCAGGTGGGGGGAGGAAACTCTCAAGAAAACAAAACAGAAAATTACCAGAATCTAAGGGACAATGAGGAGTGTGTGTCATCATGGAAACAAGGAAATAACAATGGAAGGAAAAATGAATGGTAATGAGTACTGCTGAGGCCGAGTAAAATGAGGGATAAGCTCTACTGGCATAGTCCACAGGGAATGGTTCAGCTAACTCAAAGGCTATGCCTCTCTGGTGGTTCAAATCCACCATCTGTTCTGCAAGAGAAAGGTAAGTTTATATTCAGTTCTTGACTCCATAACAATGTATGGAGTTAGATTTGCCCACAGTTGGTCAAGCCGATTGTTGTAGTCACTGTTCTCCATATTATGCACAACTAAAATTGGAGCTCTGGTGGCCTAATGGTAAAAATCTGTGCTGCAAACTCAAAGGCACACAGTTCAATTCTACCAGCTGCTCTGGGAGAAGGATGCAAAATCTCCTTCTGTGCAAGGGTCAGCTAGGTGTTGGTTCCGACTTGATGGTTCATAACAACAACAGAATCTAAAAACCACCATAATAGCCCATAGGAGCATGCATAAATTTTTCTTCTATCTCATTTCAGACTGTTATTATCTTTGCATTAGTATTTTTTTCTTCTAATTTTAAAAATTCTTCTGCAAATGAAGGGTTTTACACATATATTCTGTCTGCCTGGGATACATTACCTCTGCATTCTCCTGGGTGACTCCTACTCATGCTTCAGAAAACTTGAAATTTTATTTTAAAAATACTAGCAGTCTTTATAACACTCTAAATTATGTGCCTGTGATATTTTCTTAGTACCCTGTCTTTTTACTGTCTTATTTATT